GGGGGCAGACGACTATGGGACAGGTGTCCTATCCAAATCACCACCCAGGCCTGTTCTAAATCCAGCAGGCAGAGTCCTGAGTCAAGTGGAAAGCAGCAGATACTAGTTTCTTTTGTTTTCTCAGGCACGTCAGGAAAAATCACTTCTAGAGAAAACATTCAATAAAATGAAATCCTTCCTTAGGCTCCCAAGACCACAGGCACCCAGACCCAGGTCACATGAAACCCACGAGGTAAAGCAAAAGTCCTCCGTGAAGAGGAGAGTTGATTTATTCGCTGTTAGTAAGTCCTCAGTGAGGAGGTCGTTTCTGCATCGTCGCATGTCTCTTGCTGTCCCTTCCTTTGTCTTCCTTAGGTCTGGATTTATGGCGGATGCTTCATCCTACCGACGCTCTTCTGCACCTTCTAACTTCCTCTCCCCTGAGCACACGCACACACACACACACACACACACACACACACACACACACACACACTCCTCTCAAAGCAATCCCAGGGAGGTCGCTGAAGACGTGACGCGGGGCATGGAGAGGCTGGGTTATGTGGGACAGCTGGGGGACTTTGGGCTTGGCACAACCTCGAAATCACAGGCCGCCCGTCAGCCTTTTCTGGCCATAGCTGGTCTGTAAGAGCCCATCCCCAGAGCCCCCACCTCTGCCCACCCCGGTCCCAGGTGGAGGGTTCTGCCGGCGGGGCCACAGGGCAAGCTGGCCGCTCCCAGCTGCGGAAGGATTTACTTATATGAAAGGAGACCGTGCCCAAACAAAGCCAAGGGTTGCGTGATAATTTTCCAGAAAGCCGTACTGTTTCTAAGACTCCATCTGCTTTGTATTTCCCTGTTGGAATGAACTGCTGTGTTCCCGAAGCCCTAAAAAGGAAATGGAGACACATGAGTCCTACGCGTGGAAAGGAGACATGACCTTGAGCCAGGGCGAAACCACATGCGCCATGAAATGAGGTAGGAGGAGAGGGTGGCTGGGGGGCGGGGGAGACGGGAGCCAAGGTGCTCTCAGCTCTCCCCACTAGGCTGGGTCCCGAGAGCGCCGCTTACAGAAGAAAGGGAAAAAGGAATGGAGACAGAAGGAGAGCTTCGGATGACCAAGCCCAAGTCCTGGCAGGAGGTCGGCCTGTCACCCACAGCTGACACACACATTTGCAGACTAAGGGGTGCTGACTTGCCCTTCGTTTTCAGGGGTCAGGGACCGCAGGAATCCCAGCCTCTGAGGCTCCCACTGACCCCATCAGCATGTTTCCACAGCATCCTGTGTGTGCCGCCCAGGGAGGCTGGACTAGAAGCTGGGCTTGGGTTTGGGGCCCCCTGTGCCATTAGCCTGCTGTGTAGCCTTGGGCCAGCCACTGCCCCTCTCTGGGCTTCTTTTTCCTAGTCTATAAGAAATTGAATTTTTGCCCCATCTGCTCTCAGGGCTGCCAGGCAGGTCCTAAGGACCAGGGTTAGTAAGTTCACTGGAACATGGGTACCAAGGACGAGCACTCTATAAGAACATGAGAAAACAGTGATAACACCTACACTGACGTGGCACTTGTATGTGTCAGACATTGTCCCGAGCACTCCACATCTGTTATTATTTATCATTTATATGAATTTATTATTTAAACCAATAAATATCAGTTATTATACATTTTATTTTCATTGACTCATTTAATTCCCTCATAATCACCCAATTATGTCATCATCATCACCCCCATTTGCCAGATAAGTAAACAGATGAAGCACAGAGAGGTTGAGTCGGTTGTCCAAGGTCACACTGCCGATAAGCGACAGTGATGGGAAGAGGCACCCCCTTTACTAAAGCCTGGCCATTCTGAAGGATCAGGCCAGAAAGCCATCCATCCATCGTGTGGATTAGAGGATGGCACCTCTATCTGGGGTAGGAAGGAGGTAGCAGGGAGAACACTGTGGGCTCCACCACCAACCACACACCTGAGTCCCCTCCTCAGAGGAATGGGGACCCAAGTGACAAAGCAAACAGAATGTGCTTTGGGGATTGGGAAGAAGGTACAAATGGGGGGGTGATTGGGTGAATCGAGGGGCTATTTTATGATGCTTCCAGATTAGGAAATTATAGAGGGGAGGCTACCTGGGTGAGAGGTTTCCTCAGGGAGGTCCCACCTCCCAGAGCTCCCCGGGGGGGAAGGGGAGCAGATCTGACCACCCTGAGATGAGAACGAGCCCCCTCCCCGGGCTGGGCTGCCCAGTACCTCAGGCCAACTCCCTGGGCTGGTCCCAGCATGGGGCACAGGGCTGGGGGCTGGGAGGACACACAGACTCTGTCCTTGTCCGGGGCGCCACACAGCCAAGTTGCCCACAGCTGTGCCAGCCCGAGGTTAAGTGGTAGTAACATAGCCCTGGGGAGCACTTACAGTGCGACCACGGCTCTCTCGTGGCCCCCAGCCCGCCACAAAATGTCCGCGATGGCCAGGCCCAGGCAGTGGGTCCTGTGGGCGCTCGAGGGTTGCAGCTGCCTGAGGACAAAAAGAGGAATGTGTTTATGTCACAGAAACCAGAGACAGTACAGCCTTGTAGCAGATGACCCATCCTTTCCTATGCCACCCAGAGGGGCTCCCTGCAGAGCCTGGGAGACACCTCCTCAGATGCGGACCAAGGGAAGAGTCTAGAGGGAGGGGCCGGGCAGGGCTGGCGGAGCAGCA